TGTGGTGATGCCTGTCCATTTGCAGAGGCCATCTTGCCGGATGTTGGGCTTGCTCCTCAGGCTGACTGTAAGCATTCAGGAAGGAGTCAGATGGCCCTACCCTGGGGCTCAGGCTCAGAGCAGGGGGCACAGCTCAGGCACTAAGACCCCTGTTAGAAGGTGCTATGAATCACCCCGGATCATTTGTCAGGAGACTCCAGAATTGAAGGGGGTCCCAGGCAGGGTCCTGCTCCCTGGCCTCTGACCTCACGGGCAGCACCTCCTGGTCCCTGTGGAGGAGGCAGCGCAGGGATGATCACAGAAGCTGCAGAGCCCTGCTTCCAGAAATGACAGTCTTTGGGGAGCCGTTTCCTTTAGGGCTTCTTTTTTTTTTTTTTGAGACAGAGTTTTGCTGTTTTTAGCCAGGCTGGAGTGCAATGGCACGATCTCGGCTCACCGCAACCTCCGCCTTCTGGGTTCAAGCATTCTCCTGCCTCAGCCTCCCGAGTAGCTGGGATTATAAGTGCGCGCCACCATGGCCAGCTGATCTTTGTATTTTTAGTAGAGACGGGGTTTTACCTCGTTGACCAGGATGGTCTCAATCTCTTGACCTCATGATCCACCGGCCTCGGCCTCCCAAAGTGCTGGGATTATAGGTGTGAGCCACGGCGCCTGGCCTTTAGGGCTTCTTGAGGTGACTGCAGGTCCCGGTGCAGCCGGTGCCCTCCAGCGCATCTGCTACTATACAGGAATGGCAGAGCCGGGTCAGGATGCTGGTCAGCCTCACACCCAGTCTCTTTCGGAGTTGCTGATGCATTAGTGGAAGATGTGGGGGCCCCACTTGGGGATGAGTTTGGGGCTGAACTGCTGTGCTTTGTCGCCTGGTCAATAAGATCTGAGTCACTGGGCTGTGCCCACACAGGGCTGTTGTTGGGAAAGGTAGTGGGTGGCCCTGAACTCGTGAGGTGAGCACAGGCCAAGGGCCCCACCACCCTCCCTCAGGGCCATGTGACATTTGCGCAAGGATGGGCAGAACCTTCAGGATGTCCTGGACATGGTGCTGTGTCCCACGTGGAGTCGGGCTGAGACAGGCTGTGCTGTTGGCGTCTGTCCACGGGTACCCTGGCTGAGAAAGGCAGTCTGGTGAGAGGATGGGAGCTCGAGAAGCTGCACCCAGCTCAGCTGCTGTCAGGTCCCCCGTCCCTGACCAGTGGGGATGGGTTTTAGGAAAGCTGAGGATAAATAGCATTTTGGTGCAGCTGGCACGTTATGAATTTGATTGCAAGTGAAATTTACTTTGTACTTTCAATTCATTTTTTGCTGATTTTAGCCCAACAAAAGCAGCTTGGGTGTTAGTTGTGATTTGGAGAGAACCTGCCCGACACATCTGCTAGGGGGCTCACCCCGATGCTGTTCCCTGTGTGGCTTCTGGGTCCTCCCGTGCCCAGCAGACTAGAGAGCTGTGGCCACACACGGAGTGTCTCCCTGGGGGTCTCATTTTTCTAGTTTTCATTGCTGCGTTTCATTCCTGTGAATGGTGCTGTTTATACTTCCCGCAGTCTCTGGAAGGCATGGGCGGCTGTCCTCCTGTGCGGACGCAGTCTCATTTCTGACTGCAGTGAGCAGGTGTGTCCCCAGATCCGTAAGTGCTTCAGGCTTTGCCTGGTGTGTGGACTTTTGACCCACCGTAAGGTCCCGGTGCTGCTGGCCTGGGGAAGCAGCCAGGCCCGCTCTGCCCTGAAGGGATTTGTGAGGGCGCAGGCAGGTGGGGGGCGCTGGCAGGTTGGAGCTGTCTTGGGAGTGGTAGAGGGGCAGATGTGTCCACAGCAGACACCTGGGCCAGACTCAGTCCTGAACAGTTCAGCTTAAGAGAAGGCCCCAGGAGGTGAGATGCCCCCAGGGGTCTGTGTACCTCCCAGGTCTAGCAGCCAGGGAGGGCGCGTGGTGGGTGATGGCTCAGTGGAGTGAGTAGGGTGTGCAGCCTTCCCGCTGATGGAACCACCAGGCCTTCTGGCCAGCACTGGCCTGTGGTGCCACTTCCTGCCCTCCCATCACCATCATTGTCCTTGTCACCGTCCCTGGCCCCGGCAGCCTTGTCCTCCCTGGTGTGATGCTTTGCTAAACCTCCACCCTCCCTCCGTCTTCCTTCCACAACAGAACAGTGCTAAGGCTCTGCCAGGTGAGATCGCTACCTTGTGCTGACCTGACTCCCTGGGCCCAGGACCATCCCTGGCAGGCATTCGACGGGAGCCAGCAGCCTGGGGCCCAGAGCCCTGTGGGGTGTGGGGAGAGGCAATAAGGTGCGTCTCGGGGCCCGGGCAGCAATCCTCTGAGCACTGGCAAAGGGCCTGTGGTGTCCACTGGTGTGTGGTCACTAGAGGGTCAAAAGCATTAGGCTTCACCAAGAAAATCAGTTAGGGTTAAATTGATGTCAGCTGAAAATTGCCTTGAATTAGAACTGAACACATGCGCCTCCATGCTAAAGAAGAGAGCAGAAGTTCAGAATAACATGATGTCAAGAGTGGCCCCTCTGAGGTGCCACTGCCCCTGCTGGGCTGTCGTGGAGGGTGGCAGGGGTTGTCTGCAGGTTGGGTGTCGTGTTGACTTGTCTTGGATGCGATGGGTTGTCTTTTTTTTTCTTTTTTTTTTTAAGATGGAGTTTTGCTCGTTGCCCAGGCTGGAGTGCAGTGGTGTGATCTCAGCTCACTGCAACCTCTACCCCCCAAGTTCAAGGGATTCTTCTACCTCAGCCCCCTGAGTAGCTGAGATTACAGGCATGTGCCACCATACCCAGCTAATTTTGCATTTTTAATAGAGACAGGGTTTTTCCATGTTGGTTAAGCTGGTCTTGAACCCCCAACCTCAGGTGATCCACTCTCCTTGCCCTCCCACAGCGCTGGTATTACAGGTGTGAGCCACTGCGCCCAGCTGCAGCCTTTTTGAGTTAGGGTCTTACTCTGTTGCCCAGGCTGCCATGCAGTGGTGCCATCTCTGCTCACTGTAATCTCAACCTCTTAGGCTTGAGCAATTCTCCCACCTCACCCTCACTGTTAGCTGGTGTTATAGGCTTATGGCACCATACCAGCTAATTATTTACTTATTTATTTTCTGAGATGGAGTCTGACTCCGTCATCCAGGCTGGAATGCAGTGGTGCGATCTCTGCTCACTGCAATCTCTGCCTCCTTGTTCAAGCAATTCTCCCACCTTGGCCTCCTGAGTATCTGGGACTACAGGTGTGCACCACCACGCCTGGCTAATTTTTATTTTGGTAGAGACAAGATTTCACCATGTTGGCCAGGATGGTCTCAGTCTCTCCACCCCATGTTTGCCTGCCTGGGCCTCCCAAAGTGCTGGGATTATAGGTGTGAGCCACCGCACCTGGCTAATTTTTGTATTTTTAGTAGAGATGGGGTTTAGCCATGTTGGCCAGGCTGGTCTAGATCTCCTGACCTCAGATGACCTGCCTGCCTCGTGAGCCACCGCCCGGCCTTGAGCTCTTCTGTCTGCAGGACTTTGATTCTGAGCAGCTGAAGCACTAAGTTCCTCAAAGATGATGTGGGTGTTGTTGCTGCTTCCAGGGGCTTCAAGGACATAGGTGGGACCCCGAGTGTGTGGGAAGAGACACATCAGGGGTGGGTAGGTGACTTAGATGCTGCTGTCGCAGGAACCAAGGATGCCTCGCAGCTCAGGGTCAGATGTCTTTGCAAGTTAAACCTTAGATCAACCACTCAATGTATTATAAAAATTATTTTTAGGCCGGGCGCAGTGGCTGACGTCTGTAATCCCAACACTTTGGGAGGCCAAGGTGGGTGGATCACAAGGTCAAGAGATCAAGACCATCCTGGTCAACATGGTAAAACCCTGTCTCTACTAAAAATACAAAAATTATCCGGGCATGGTGGCGCGTGTCTGTAATCCCAGCTACTCAGGAGGCTGAGGCAGAAGAATTGCCTGAACCCAGGAGGCGGAGGTTGTGGTGAGCTGAGATCGCGCCATTGCACTCCAGCCTGGGTAACGAGCGAAACTCCGTCTCAAAAAAAAAAAAAAATTATTTTTGTTACCCAGGAAGGTATATTTTAGGTAATCTGAGCTTATTTAAATAAATTGACAGAACTGAAAGTTGAATGTATCACTCAGAATTCCTGAGTCAGCCAGGCTGTTTCTCTGAAGTAGAATTAAGCAGTTACTTGTCCCTGACCACCTGGAGTGGCACAAATGAGCTCCCACAGACCAGGGAGCTCATGTGGGGATTCAGTCTCTATCTCTTTTTGGGGATTGAGCCCCTTCCTGGGGAACCCGAGTCCAGGCATGGCCACTGTGAAGGGCACCCCCTGCCCAGGACCCCAGATGCTCCTGTGGTCCCTTCCTGTGACTGCTGGTGCCTGTGTGTGTGCCCGCCCCAGGGCCTCCTTTCAGCTGGACGCATTCAGGCGTCATCTGTGCTCCGTCGTCGGGTCGCCTGCGGGGCGTGCTGTCTGCTCAGTGGTCTGGCCCTGCTGGTTTTCATGGCAGCATTTTCCAGCCTGATTGCGTTGCCGTTGCCTTTTGAGTCTCCCAGTGTTCCTGACTGTTGGAGCTAAGCTGGACTTGTGATTTGCTTTGGGGTTTGCTTTGTCTCTGCTGAAGGCTCAGGTTTCACGGCAAGCAGGCACCTCACGGGAGCAGAGGGAGGGTGCGGCTGTGGAGACCGCGCCTGAGGCCTGAGGCCTGAGGCCAGGGGCAGTGATGGAGAGGTCCCAGCAGAAGGTGTCAGATGCTGGCAGGGTCCTGCAGGCGTTGGGTCTTCTGGCAGAGTTGGGGCTCCGTGGGGAGCAAGCGCCTTCCGTCCCCCACTTTGTTTTCTGTGGGACCTACCAGGACTGTGAGGACCCTGCCTCACCAGGGCATGGGCCACCCCCGACAGCTGTCCCCACTGCCCCTGCTGTGGGGCTGGGAAGGGGCCAGGTGCCCAGGACACAGGCGCTTCCAGGCTTCTTACACGGATGCTTTTTCTCTGACGTTCCTTAACTCCCATGTGTAGCTATACACAAAACGGCATTTTGCACATGCTGGACAGAAATAAGAGAATCAAGCCCCGGCCGGAAAGGTTCCAGAACTGCAAAGACCTGTTTGATCTGATCCTCACTTGTGAAGAGAGAGTGTACGATCAGGTGGTGGAAGGTGAGGAGGCCAGCCCTGTGGCGGCTGTCACAGGTCCCACGCCTGAAGGTCCCACCCTGGCTGCCACATCCTGTCTGGAGTTGGGGGAGGGGGCAGTCAGGCCTGAGTGCAAGCATGCGGAAGGCAGGCCAGGCCGCTGGTTGTGGGCTTTCTGCTTCTGAGGCCTGTCGGAGCAGAACCATTGTGCTGGCTGCAGCCTCTCATGGGCTCCAGGGGTCTGGTTCTTGTTTGTTTTTGTTTTTTTTGAGACAGAGTGTATCTCTGTCGCCCAGGCTGGAGTTCAGTGGTGCAATCTCGGCTCACTGCAACCTCTACCTGAGGGGTTCAAGCGATTCTCCTGCCTCAGCCTCCTGAGTAGCTGAGATTACAGACACTTGCCACCACACTTTGCTAATTTATTGTAGTTTTGGTAGAGATGGGGTTTCACCATATTGGCCAGGCTGGTCTTGAAGTCCTGACCTCAGGTGATCCACCCACCTTGGCCTCCCAAAGTGCTGGGATCATGGGCATGAGCCACTGGTCCATATTTCACGAGTGGACCCTGTGTGGAGCCGGGCCTGTGGTCAGGGAGGGCGGGGAAGCACAGGCCGCCTTGTGCTGAGCTGGGGACGTACCAAGGTTTGACGCTCAGTCCTTACTCAGCTCCCAAACCAGAGTCCAGAAACCGCCAGGGCTGGGCCAGGGGCCGGCAGAGCTAGGGACTGGGACACATTGACTGCCTGTTCCCTGGTTCTGGAGCCTCTGACCTCTGTGTCACCTTGTCCCAATCAGATCTGAATTCCAGAGAACAGGAGACCTGCCAGCCCGTGCACGTGGTCAACGTGGACATCCAGGACAACCATGAGGAGGCCACCCTGGGGGCATTTCTCATCTGTGAGCTCTGCCAGTGTGTGAGTACCGGGCCTGGCACCGTGCCGGGCAGAGGCTCTGCTGGGGCAGTGAGGCCTGAGGCTGGCCCTGCTGTTGGGGCGGGGTCTCCTGCTCAGCTGACCTGTGTTGGGGTACCTGCTGGCGGCTCAGAGAGAGCTGTCCCCCAGCTTTGGAGTAGGAGACCCCCTTTGCCCTCTGCTCAGCTGACAGACGCAGCGCAGTGACCTGCCCAACACAAGCTTAGGGCCTGGCACTGCCTCCTCCCTGGGGTGGACTCATCGCGCCTCAGCCAGCAGGCAAGTGGTGCTCCTGGATGCTGTGCGGTCGCAGGTATGCCCCACGTGAGCCTGGAGGCTCCCAGGGCGTCTGCTGCCAAGGGCTGTATGTCCACAGTCTGCCCCTGGACTCAGCCTTTTGCATGCCTGTCTTCCCCAAGACACCCTGAGGGGCCAGGGGGCACCCCAAGGGCTTCTGCAGCTGCGCTGCTGCCTTGCTGAGGTGCTGGGGTGTGAGGGGAGGGCCTGCTGGGGAGAGCCCCACACACCGACCCGCCTCTGCCTCTGGGATCTGTGAACGAGAGAGGAGATGGTGCGGTGTGGAGGCCCCGAGCCAGGCTGCCTGCGCTGGGAGAGGCTGCCGCAAGGGCGTGGGCTCCTGCCTGCCTGTGCTGCATGGTTTCTGGTCCTCACATGCCTCACGGCCCAGTATGGCTGGAGTGCCAAGGATGGTGCTGGTGACCGCCTGGTAGGAGGGAAGGCCACTGGAAAAGTCTCATCCCAGAAGTGGCTGCTCGATTTCTGCTCGGTCACGTTGGCCAGAGCTGAGTCACAGGCAGGCCACTCCTCACTTAAAGGCACTGTGTGCTGCCCAAGGTTGGGGACCAGGGGACACTGGCAATGGCAAATGACAAGCAGCCAGGGTCAAGGCCTGTGTGCTCAGGAGCCCAAGGTGCTTACTCCAGGCAGCAGGCCTCCGCCAGGGGCTCTGGTAGGTGGAGATCAGGATGCTCCAGTGACCGGGCTGCCCCTGCCACAGGGCACGGGTCTGGGTCCTTGCTGGCATTTGGGAAGTGCTGCGGTGAGGCTGTCTGGCTGTGCTGTGCATGAGTGGACCTGGGCCTGGGTCCCGGCTTCCCAGTCTGCTCTCTGAATCCAGCTCCCTGCTCCCAGCTTCAGGCTCGGTGGGGGCCAGTGGGGAGGTGAGGCCTGAGGCTTCCTAGGAACCTCTGCCCTTGCAGCCTCCAGCCATCCTTGTGAGGCAGCAGCAGCGGTGCAGGTGGGGACCTGTCTGTCACCCAGCTTCCTGGCCCAGGAGGGGGTTTCCCTGGTCATCCAGGTGCTGCCTGGGAGCAGACGGGAGGGCCGGCGAGGCCCTCACGGTGGTCCTGTCCTTGCAGATCCAGCACACGGAGGACATGGAGAACGAGATTGACGAGCTACTTCAGGAGTTTGAGGAGAAGAGCGGGCGCACCTTCCTGCACACTGTCTGCTTCTACTGAGCCGGGCGCCCCGGCTGCCCTCTCCAGCTTCCTTCTATTCATACTTTTTCCTTCCTGACGTTTGTTTTTACTTACAGGTGTTCTGCTGGTAACGGTAGCATGTGACACGGGAGGAGAGGTCCAAATGCCACATTAAAGCAATCAAGTCTTTTCCTTCCCATTTTTTAGTGGGATATTGATTATAGTTTTTTTCTTTAACCGAAGAGGAAAGACAGCAGTTTGTGTTAACTTCCCTGCTGTCCCCGTGTCCCCGTGCACCCGCTCCCTCCCCCCTTCCCACCCACGAGATGTTCAATGACCTGGAATTGTCCAATAAATAGATGCTGCTGTCACCTGTGCTTGGTCGTGAATTCCTGGCCCAACCCTGGCCCTCCGACCACTGCTGGGGAGGTGTAGCTCAGACCTGGGGTGGCTGGAGCCTGGGCCGACCCCGCCCTGTGCTGCCTGAAGTAGAAGCCAGCTGCTCCCACCAGCACTGCTACCTGTGGGGGAGCCACGTCCCAGCTCGGCATGGAAACTCTCCCCTCCCCTGACCCCCCACCTTGGTCGGCTGTCCCCTAGGCCACCTTCGAGGGAGGCTGAGCCAGGAGGATCACTTGAGCCCCGGAGTCAGCTGCAGTGAGCCTGGATGGCACTGCAGCCCCCAGGCTGGGCCCAGGCACTGCTTCCAGCTAACTTCCTGCTGCAAGGTGGCGGGGGCTCCTGTATCTGAGACGTGGTCACTGATTTTGGTTGAGTTTGGTCCCATAGCAGTGTGGTGACCACTTGGGCCTCTGAGTGGCAGGTGACTCCCTTGAGGATTCCAGGGGTCACCCCGTCCCTTCCCTCTGAGCCCCCCCCCATGGTTCCATGCACCCTGGAGACATGTGCAGCCCCGCACCTGGCTACCCGGGGAGACGAGGACGGAGGGTGGAGCAGTGGTGCGGAAAGAGCCTTGGCGCCCCTCTGGGCCAGATCGGGTTGGGACTGGCGTCCTGGGACCCTGGACAAGCGACCGGGGCTGGGTCTGACCAAACTGAGGTGGGACAAGAAGCGGAGGTTCCCGGGGAGGGGGTCCCCTCCCTTCGCCGGCGCTGGCACGGAGCGGCCCGCGGGCGGCGCGGTCCCTCCCGGGAGGCGGAGGAAGGCGGCAGGAGGGAGGAGGGAGGAGGAGGCAGGGAGGGGGCCGGAACCGAGCGGAGCCGAGCCGAGCCGAACGCAGCGGAGCGCAGGGAGGACCCGAGGGCGGAGCGGAGCGCGGCGGGCCGGGCCGAGCGACCCCCGAGAGGCCCCACGTCCCTCCGCGGCCCCCCCGTGCCTCCTCCCCCCGGTCGGCGCCGGGGTTGCCGCGAGCGGCGGCGGCCGATCCTGGGAAGCGCTGACCTCTGCGGAGGCGGCGGGGGCTCAGCATCGGGCCGGGGCCGGGGGGGCGCCGGGGCCGGGGGGCGGCGCTCCGGCCCGGCCCGGCCCCGCCCGATGTCCATGAGCGCGAACACCATGATCTTCATGATTCTGGGGGCGTCGGTCGTGATGGTGAGCGGAGGGGCTTCCCGCGCACGCCCCCTGCTCCCCGCCCGCGCGCACCGCCTGCCCCCACCTCCCGCTCCCTGTTTACCGCCCGTTCGGCCTGCGCTCCCCGCTCCCCGGCCTGCTCTCCCCGTCCCCGGCCTGCGCTCCCCCGTCCCTGGCCTGCTCTCCCCACACCCCGGCCTGCGCTCCCCACACCCCGGCCTGCGCTCCCCCGTCCCCGGCCTGCGCTGTCCTCACCCCGGCCTGCGCTCTCCTCCCCAGCCTGCGATCCCCACAACCCCTTCGCTCCCCCTATTAAGGCCTACGCTCCCCCCACTCCGGCCTGCGCTCCCGCTCCCCGGCCTGCGCTGCCCCCACCTGCCCTGCACTCCCCACCCCCAGCCCGCGTTCGTCCCGCCCGTTCCCTGGCGCTGACCGGTCATGGGCTCTTCCAGGCCATCGCGTGCTTGATGGACATGAACGCGCTGCTGGACCGATTCCACAACTACATCCTCCCGCACTTGCGGGGCGAGGACCGCGTCTGCCACTGCAACTGTGGCCGGTGAGTCCGAAACCGATGCCGGCTCGATACGCGTGAGCGCACATGTGCGGCGGGGCCCACTCGGGGCGCAGGGGAGCCAGCCCCACGCAGGCCGCGAGCCGCCTTCCACCTTGAGGGCTGCCAGGTGCGCAGGGGGAGGAGCTGTCTCCCGGGGATCTCCCCGGGGGCGCATGGCTTTAGGACACCATCCTGGAATGCCTTTAGAGGCCTCCATGGTGATGGTAGAATGGATCATGGGGCCTCCTGCTCCAGCCTGGAGGCCGGGAAGCCACAGCCCAGTCTGGTGTCCACAGTGGAGACCCAAGCCAGCCTCATCAAAGCTGGGGCAGGAAGCGCCTGCTGGCACAGGGCTGGGCCCTGCAGTGAGGCCCAGGGCAGGGGAATGCGGGTCTCTGTGGGAGGGGCCTGCCTGGAGGGGCACTGGGCTGAAGCCCTTGGCTGGAGAGGAGGAGCTGAGGGGTGGGCTGTGGGTGGGCAGTGGGGAGGCGGGACTTCCTCAAGGTCACTCAGATTGAGAGGGGCGCCCAGACCCCCCACACACACTGTGTGAACCCCTCTGTGCACGTGTAGTGATGGAATCTTCCTGGCCATGCATGTTTGTATGTCCATGTATGAAATAAACATCTTCTCATGAGACGCGCATGTGTGTAGCGTCTGTGCATATACATGTGCGTACACACAGCGCCCGCGCACGCACGCACGCATGCACTCCCTCAGGATGCCCTCACTCAGTGACCGCTGTTAACCTGCTAGATGAGGAAGTGGACGGAGGCCGTAGAGGACAGACTTGCCCAAGGTCACACAGCTAGTGAAGGACAAAGTGGGCATGAACCCAGAACCCATGTTCTTCATCTCTGCCGCCTCCTGCTCTGGGGTCTCTGTGCATACGTGTGGGTGCAGGGTATATGTGTTCAGGACAGCTGCATGTCTTGCTAAGTGTGTTACCTGCCTATGGGTGGAGCCGGTGTGATGAAGAACACGGGTGTTAAGAGAAGGTAGAGATCGAGGCGTCTGTGACCCTCGTGTGTGCTGGGCACAGGGTGTTGGGTAAGAGCTTGCGGGGTGGCCTTGTGCTCCTCTTGGGCAGGTCCAACTAGCTAAGCCAAGGCCTGAGGTCCACTCCAGGCCTCCCAGAGGCTGGGCCCAGACCCCAGCTCCGGAGTATCAGAAAGGCTCAGCCCTCATGGGCGTGGGCTGTGGCAGCGCAGTGAGGGCTCGGCAGGGCAGGCAGAGGGCGTGCTGAGTGTTGCACAGGGGGTGTAGATGCATCTCAGGTATCAACGCCCAGACTACGCGTGGATTCAGAGTGCACTGGAGGCAACGTGTGTGGGAAACAGCCCCAGCCTGCTGTAGACGGCGTTGCCGCGTGTGTCTGTGTGTGTATGCTCTGTTCACATCTCCACATACAGGGCATGTACATTCCGCATACAAAATGCCCTTGTATATTGACAACATATATGTGTATGCAAAGTACATGTATGTCACAATATACAGTGCTCAGGGACATGTCAGAATGTCTCCGTGTGGGTGCCGCTGATGTGTGTGCAGATGAGTTTTGCTCACGGGGTATCTGCGTATACAACATGTCCATGCACTGCTGTGAGAGGCTCCCCGTGTGTGCACGCTGGTGTGCAGAGTGTGTGTGTGTCCATGCGCAGGCCTCGTACGTGCCCGTACATAGACTTCGGCGTGTTGCCAGGCATAAGTCCGCGCACATGGTGTGGCGGCCCTGGAGAGGGTGTCTGCTCGAAAAGCCAAGCGAATGTGCCCCCCGTGTGGCACCCGCCGTGCGGAATGGGCTGTGGCACGCCCAGCCCATGTCTGCAGTATCACACCCTGTCCCTGCATGTGGTGGTGTGCATATGTGACATGATTGGCCCTCGGTGGGCACGCAGCATGATTGGCCCTCGGTGCGGCTGAGGAAGGACACACGTATGTACATGTCACAGACATACGTGTGCAGACAGCACATCTCTGCCCAGGCCTGGCTCATTCTGCTTTCACTTGGGAGACCTGAGCCCCCCAGGAAGGAGGGCCAGGTGCAGGGTCGGGGGAGCTGCAGGAACCCAGGCCAGCCTTGGGGGCACAGGCTGTGACCTCTGACCCCCGAAGTTCCTGAGCCCCTGGGGTGGCTGGGGACTCACCAAGGGGTCAGGAAACACTTCCTCCCCTGAGGGCCTCTGGCAGCTGCACATTTGTCGGTGGTGATGGACGATGGCTGTGGACAGGCTCGTCACCGGGTGATTGCGGCCGCCAGGGATCAGCCACGGTCACTCCTCACCAGGAGCCCTGCTCTTTGGGTGTGGTCTGTGTTCCCAATATGCTGAGGGGTCTGACCTCCAGGGGTTTCCAGAAGAGCAGGAGGGCTCCAAGGAGAACCTGAGGCAGGGCCTCCTCCCTGTGCCTGGGCTCCGGCTCCAGGAACCCCACAGTGGCCACCTGTGTGGCCTCCGCTGGGTGCAGGTGGCCTGGGTTGGACAGACAGGCCGGGCTTTCAGGGAGGGAAGTGCCCCTGGGTGGGGTGTGGAACATGGGGTGGTCTCTGGGTCTCGGCTGAAAAGCAGGCCGAGGCTGATACCTCACCGAGGGGGAGGTAGGGGAGAAGCAGGTTTGGGGAGAGAGGAGTTATTTTTATGCCCAAGTTGAAGGTGTCTGTGGATCCCACGTGGAGACACAGGCAGCTGGAGCTCAGCAGACGTGGGAGGCAGCCAGGAGGGTAGATCCCAAGGCGTCCTGGGTGCCTGGGGCCTCCTCTCCCAGGCCCTCTTGTTGGCCTAGGGATCCCGGAGTCAGCTGTCTTGGGTGCCAGTCCAGTTGGCAGTGCCAACCCACCTGAGATCTTGGGGCCCAGAGGCCTTCCTGGGACGGGGTGGGCTGCCAGAGTGAGTCCCATGGAGAGCTTCAGTGTCGCCCCAGCAGTGAGAGAAGGACTGAGGCTGTGGTAGCCTTAGCCTGGGCAGTCCCCCAGGAGCCCAGGGAGGGGAGGTCAAGGGACACGGAGGTGCCGAGGCCTTGAGGACTACAGGGCCCTGGAGCCTGGACGCCGTCCATCCTGGGAGCAGCGGGGCAGGTCTGTGTGGCCACATAGGCAAGGGGGCATCCCCCAGGAAAGGAAGAGGACGGGGTGCTAGGCAGAGTCCCTGTGGCCTCTGACAGCACCTCCCAGGGATAGAGGAGCAGAAGGAACCCGAGAGGCAGGGGGCCCAGCCCGTGGGGCAGCAGCCGTGGAGAAAGGGGCCCCGTAGGCAGGTAAGTGTGCATGGGAGGGGCCAGTGGTCACCGGCAGTCCAGCTCTGCTCCAAGTGGCCTCCGCAGCCTCGGGCTGGGTGGGTGAGCAGTGACCCTGGCCGTGGGGACCACCATCCTGAGCTCCTCCCAGGAGGCCTCTTCCACCTGCAGAACCTCCCCATGAGCTCCAGGCCTAAGGGAGGAGGTGCTGGGTGAGGGCAGACACCCTCGACGGCTGCTGGTCCCATCTGCCTGGACTTCACGCTCAGCCTGCACAACCCACGGCCACTGACCTCCCACTGCCACCAGCCTGTGACCTGGGCCTGGTTGGGTCCAGAGCCCCCACCTGAACAGCCCACCCAGGAGGCTGCTTCAGAGAACCCCCTGGGCGGCCCTAAGTGCTCACGCCCCCACCACGGATGGGGTAGGCCCCCGGGGTAAGGCCAGGCCGGGGGCAGCGGGAGAGGTGCCAGCCCGCCCTGCCGCCCCCAGGAACCACATCCACTACGTGATCCCGTACGATGGGGACCAGTCGGTGGTGGACGCCTCGGAGAACTACTTTGTGACGGACAATGTGACCAAGCAGGAGATCGACCTGATGCTGGGGCTTCTGCTGGGCTTCTGCATCAGCTGGTTCCTGGTGTGGATGGACGGCGTCCTGCACTGTGCCGTACGCGCCTGGAGGGCTGGACGGCGCTACGGTGAGTGCCTCGTGCCTGCCGCCCTGCACGCCACCGCCCCGGCCAGCCCAGCGGCCTGACCGCCCCTGTCCCCCTGCAGATGGCTCGTGGACCTGGCTGCCCAAGTTGTGCAGCCTGCGGGAGCTGGGCCGGCGGCCGCACAGGCCCTTCGAGGAGGCCACAGGGAACATGGTGCACGTGAAGCAGAAACTCTACCACAACGGGCACCCCAGCCCGCGGCACCTGTGAGCCGCGAGGGAACTTGCCGGGGCCACCGAGGCACTGGCCGCTGTACAGATGTAAAAGGGACCTCATGGACACCCGGGCCGGCAGGACTGGACAGCAGCCCTGGGCCAGGGGAATCCGGGCTGTGGCCGGCCGGGAGAGTCCAGTGGAAGGTGCTGTCTCCTATTCTTTTTATAAAGGCGATTGGGGTGGGGGCTGGGGTGGGGGAGGCCAAAGGGCCTCAGGGGACAGGACCCTGAGCCCCTGGCTGGGCAGGGCACGAGGGCAGACTCGGCCCCAGAGGTGCTGGGGGGGCAGGGAGGGTCCTGGGGGGGCAGGCAGGGGCGGGAACAGCCAGGTGCATGGCCTGGGGCAGCATGTTTGAAGCTGCTGTTTCCCGTGCTCTGCGTCTGTCTGGCCAGCCTGACAGAGGGGAGGAAGGTGAGGTGCATCTGTGTGCACGGCTGCAGGGTGAGGCACAGGCCCCCAGCCCCACTGTGGCAGGTACCTCATGTGAAGCCCACCCCTCTGTGGTCAGTAAATTCTCCAGAAAGCTCCAGCCTCCGCCTCTTCTGTCACCTTTGACCCCAGGGGGACTCTTGGGGGCCCCGAAACCCCACCCCATGTCAGCCAACACACAGAAACAGTGGTGAGGCACCTGTGGGACTTTATTAGATTAACAGACCCCCGCTCCAGCCACAGGCTTGCACTGGCCAGCTGAGTGTGGCCTCAGACAACCCTGCCTGTTTCCTTGCCTCCCAGCCACCGCCTGGAGTTTCTCAGGGCCACAAATGTGTGCAGGGTAAGGGGTGCCCTGACACCTGGCTCTGCTGTGGGAGCTGAGAACAAAGACCCTGCCTACCCCATTCCTGCTGGCCCCTGGGGCTCCGTTCAGCACCCACCCTCCCAGTGGCCTCTGCGGGGGCTGAGGTGCAAAGCCTCCCCTCCCACTCTGAGCCAGACAGAAAATGCATCTCCCAAGTGTCTTGGGGGACAGGAAGGAGACCTGCCCCTCCCCAGCCAATGCCCACAGCAAGGGGTATCCTCGTGGGCGGAATGGCTGACCCCCATAAGATGTCCTGGTGCACAGAGGCCCTGCACGCAGCCCTGGCCCCACCCAGGAGCACTTCCTCAATGCACAGGGGCCGGAGAGGCGGGAGTGAGAGGGGTCCGCTGCCAGGCTCTGTGAGGTGTGGGTCACCGTGAACTCAGGATGGGGGGCGCTTGTGCCCCGACCCAGGCCCCTCTGCCTTCAGCCAGGACATCTTCTGCTGGTGCTGCTGGACAGCGTCCTGCACGCGGGCGTCCATCATGGCCTCAGTGAGGACCCCATCCTCAGAGGCATATGCCATGGCCTGCAAGGAGACAGGGAGCTGAGGGTGGCCGCCACAGGAAGCCCCTGCCCCAATGTACACCAGGGCCCAGAGAGGAGAGGGGCCAAACTAGGGGCACCAGCAGGGCCTCAGGGTGAAAGCCAGGCTTCCCGCACCACAGCAGAGTCCAGCATGTGTGTGGGCACCTGGAGTGGCCCCCGCAGTGCCCAGAGCCCTGCCTGCGTCCTCAGCACTGCTGTTTCTCAATGGACTGTCTAAAAATAGGAAGTCCAAGACCCAGCCCCACTGACTGCGACACAGGGCAGCTCCCGAGAGGCAGGGTGGGAAGCACAGACCCACTGCGAGTCTGAGCTGTGGCCAGGCAGCGCCCCTGGGTCACACTACACCTTGGATCCTCAGACCCTGATCCCCACAGGCCTCCAGGGCAGAGGCAGCCACTGCCCACATTGGGGCACATGGGTGGTGGCACTAAGGCCACCCTTGATCCCACCTCCTGTCCACCTGGGCATAGGGGTTGGCATCCAGCACGCAGAGGCCGGAGCAGCTGGGGCTGTGGCCCTTGGTGTGGCTTCAGGTCCAGCCCTTCTGCCATGGACTGGTCACTCTCCATCCCAGTGCCAGCAAAGGACATGGAGCCCCCAAGGGGAAGCACCCATGTCTGAGGGCCAGGGTGTGGGGATCCCACTGGGCCCCGTGCTCAGGAATTTACCAGGATGCCTGGAGGAAGCACAGGGCAAGGGACCCTTCCCAGACAGTTGAGTGGGCCCCTCACCCCGTCCTGGCTATGCTTGGATGCAAGGGCAGCAGCACACCATCCTCCCACACCGACACCATGACAGAACCTGCCAGGGCGATGACCACATGGTGCTTGTCCCCCGTAGCAGCGCCCAACCCTTGCCAAGAGCCACTGTGTGGTGCAGACACTGACCAGAGCTGGACCACCACTGCAGATTGGGGGCCCAGGAGAGCTCAACATCATTTTTCGTCTTGAGCCAACCCAAGAGAGGGCAAACAGGGGCAGGAATGCTCAGGGCCCACCCGAGTGGCTGCACTTCACCCAATGCCCAGTGGAGGACATCCCTGACGAGCTATGACTGAGTGACAGGCCGACATCCCTGACAAGCTGACTGAGTGACAGGCCGACATCCCTGACAGGCTATGACTGAGTGACAGGCCGACATCCCTGACAAGCTATAGCTGACTGACAGGCCAACATCCCGGATGAGCTATGAGTGACAGGCCGACAACCCTGACAAGCTCTGACAGGCTGACATCCCTGACGAGCTTTGTTGGGAAAGTCCTCAACAAAATGCCAGCAAAACTTAATTCAGCAGTATAGTAAGAGGATTATACACCCTGACCAAGCAGGATTTACTCCTGGAATGCAAGGATAGTTTAACATACAGAAGTCAATCCATGTTCAACATACGAAATGTTCAACATAGAAAAATCAGTATTAGTAGAGTGGAGGAAGGAAACCACATGACCCTCTCAACTGATGCAGGAAAAGCATTCAACACCCTTTTATGATAAAAACATTCAACAGGCCAGGCGTGGTGTTTCACGCCTGTAATCCCAGCACTTTGGGAGGCCAAGGTGGGCAGATCACTTGAGGTCAAGGAGTTCAAGACTGGCATGTCCAACATGGTGAAACTGTCTCTATTAAAAATATGAGTATTATCTGGGCATGGTGGTGCACGCCTGTAGTTCCAGCTACTCGGGAGGCTGAGGCAGGAGAATCACTTGAACCCAGGAGGCTGAGGCTGCAGTGAGCTGATGTCGAGTGACTGCACTCCAGCCTAGGCAACAAAATTGAGACTTCATCAAAAACAAAAAAAATTCAACAAAGGAGGAATTGAAGGAAACTCCCTGAACTCAACGAAGGCCATATATCAAGCCCACAACTAATATACTCAGTGGTGAAAACTACAAGCTTTTCCTCTGAAGTCGGGAACCAAGCAAGCATGCCTTTACCACTTCTATTTCACACACCACTGGGAGTTCTGGCCAGAGCAATTAGAAAAGAAAAGTCATCCAAACTGAAAAGGGAGAGTTAAAATCACCTGTTCTCAGATGACATAATCTTATATGTAGAAAATCCTGAAGTCCATATTAAATTAAAAAAAAAACATGATATTAGCAAAGTTATGGGATACACAACAGAAAAAGAAGCTGCAATTCTATATATGAACAATGAAGAATCTGAAAGGGAAATTATGAAAGCATTTCTATTTACAATAGCATCCAAAAGAATAAAATACAGCCAGGTGTGGTGACTCATGCCCATAATCCCAGCACTTTGGGAGGCAAAGGCAGGTGGATCACCTGAGGTCGGGAGTTCAAGACCAGCCTGGCCAACATGGTGATATCCCATCTATACTAAAAATACAAAAAAAAAAAAGTTAGCTGGGTGAGGTGGTGAGTGCCTATAATCCAAGCTGCCCAGGAGGCTGAAGCAGGAGAATTGCTGGAACCCAGGAGGCAGAGGCTGCAGAGACCTGAGATCACGCTGCTGCGCTCCAGCTTGGGCAACAGAGCAAGACTCCATCCCCCCCCCAAAAAAGAATAAAATACTTGGAAATTCACTTAACCAAAAAAGTGAAGACTTCCACAAGGAAAACTGGCTGGGTGTGGTGGCTCATGCCTGTAATCCCAACACTTTGGGAGCCTGAGGCAGGAGAATCACCAGATGTCAGGAGTTCAAGACCAGCCTGGCCAACATGGTCAAGCCCTGTCTCTATTTAAAAAATGCAAAAAATAGCTGTGCATGGTGGCATGCACCTGTAATCCCAGTTACTTGGGAGGCTGAGTCAGGAGAATCACTTGAATTGGGGAGGCAGAGGTTGCAGTGAGTTGAGATCATGCTACTGCACTCTAGCCTAGACAACAGAGTGAGACTCCATCTCAAGAAGAATAAAAAAAAGAAAGAAAACCATCCGGGTGTGGTGGCTCACGCCTGTAATCCCAGCACTTTGGGAGGCCAAGGTGGGCAGATCAAGAGGTCGAGATCGAGACCATCCTGGCCATGGTGAAACCCCGTCTCTACTAAAAATACAAAAATTAGCCGGGTGTGGTGGCACGCGCCTGTGGTCCCAGCTACTCAGGAGGCTGAGGCAGAAGAATCACTTGAACCCAGGAGGCGGTGACTGCAGTGAGCCGAGATTGTACCACTGCACTCCAGCCTGGTGACAGAACAAGACTCCACCTCAAAAAAAGAAAATCACACAACATTGCTGAGACATCAAGTCAATATAGAGAGTGAATGCAATTCCTGCAAAAACACCAATTACTTTTTACGGAAATAGAAAAACCACTCCTAAAACTGACATGGAATCTCAAGGGATCCCCAATAGCCAAAAAAACAAAAACTTTATTTTTTTCAGGAGTCTCACTCTGTCACCCAGGCTGGAGTGTAGTGGCACAATCTCAGCTCACTGCAACCTCCACCTCCTGGGTTCCAGCGATTCTCGTGCCTCAGCCTCCCGAGTAGTTTCATCTACAGGACTGCACCACCACGCCTGGCTAATTTTGTATTTTTAGTAGAGATAGGGTTTCTCCATGTCAGTCAGGCTGGTCTCAAACTCCTGACCTCAGGTGATCTGCCCGCCTCGGCTTCACAAAGTGCTGACATTACAGGTGTGAGCAACTGGCCAATTCTTTCAATTTTTAGTAAAAACAGGCTTTCATCATGGTGGCCAGGCCGCTCCAGAACTCCTGGCCTCATGTGATCCACCCACTTTGACCTTCCAAACGTGAGCCACCCCACTCCATCTGTTTTGTTCTTTCAATGATTATTTGAGCCAGGGTCTTGCTCAGTCGCCCAGGCTGGAAGGCAGTACTCCCAGGCTCCAGCAACCCATTTCAGCTTTCCGAATAGCTGGGACCACAGCACGTGATACCATGCCTGGCTAATCTTTGTATTTTTTGTAGAGATGGGGTTTTGCATGTTGTCCAGGCCTGTCTCAAACTCCTGATCTCAAGCAATCCTCCTGCCTTGGCCTCCCAAAGTGCTGGAGTTATAGGTGTGAGCCACTGTGCCCCGTCAAATTATTATTTTATTCATTTTTTTTGAGACAGAGTCTCATTCTGTTGCCCAGGCTAGAATGTAGTGACACAATCTCGGCTCACTGCAACCTCCACCTCCCCAGGTTCCAGCAATTCTCCTGCCTCAGCCTCCCGAGCAGATGGGACTATAGGTGCCTGCCACCACACCCAGCTAATTTTT